AAGCTGTAGATCAAAGTTTGACCAGGAACTGCTTCTTTAATCTGTGACGGACATTTACTACCCGTCTAATCACCTGACAACTAAGGTTACTTATCAAATTGCACTCAATTATGCTCCCATACCCACCAAATAACTTTGCAGGCCCAATATATTGTGACCATAAACATGAAATGGCTCATAGTACAATAACACGTTGAATACCTAAAATTTGCATCAACTTCACCAGAAACTTTTACCTGTCACTATTCATTTAAGTGCATCTTTTCCCCACGTTGCTGTGGACCAACTGTGCATGCAAGCAGGGTTTTGTTTCTTTTTTGCATACATTTGCACACTCACTCTTTATATCAGATCCAGCCCTTCCCCCAAACCCTCGGATTCCTCATTTTGCTACTTTGATGGCAATGTATTCCCACAATACAACTTTACAGCAAGGCAGTAAAAATTTTCAGCACCCAGCCCTGAAGCATACCACCCAGGTATGAAAGCTTTTGACCTCAAACGTGCCATTTACAAGCACAGGTGTAAATGTGTCTGCACAGAACACTGCACATGCATGCCGTGGTTCACTCTCTATTATCTGATGCACTGTTACTTCCTACATCAGCTCACTTGCATTAATATCTTGTGAGCTCTTGTCTCACCATCTCTCTGCACTTCCCGCTCATCTGTTTTAGTTATAGCCAACTGCAAAAGAAAGTAAATAGGCTGCAATGACTATAGAGAACCTTGCCTTGCCCCTGCAACATGTACACCTCTTCTTATCCAATACTAAATATAGGGTGTCCTCCCAGGGATATGAATGTGACCCAATTCAGCAGAAATGACCCCAATTACACAATCAGACACCACTGTACTCCAGTTTTAGGCTTCAGGTTTAGACTGCTTTACAGGTTATTGTTTAAATTTAGGCCAAAGCATCCTGTGTGGATGTCCTGGAGGTTATTCATGTCATGCAAAGGGAATTAGTGATGATTCAATATAACCGCAGTTTCACGCTAAGTGAAGGAGCAGATGGAAAAGTTGAGCTTAATCTTTTTTCAATATGTGAGAAAAGAAAATCAGTTAAAGTGGCCTTACATTTGTCTCTGATGTCGAGTTACAGACAAAAAGAAAAAAAAAAGTCAAGTAAGAAGTTTTTCGTTTACTGTTTCAAAACCCTTTCTTGTAAAGGATTTATTACCGGAAAACCACTGTCAGTACCTTGTCCATGAGTTTCCAGCATTTTTCCACCATTTTCTTGTCGACCACTGCGGGTTGGTGAGGCTGGAGAGCTTGCTGGTGAGGCTGAAAGGCGTCCTTCATCAAGCCGATGAGACCGGCGCCCCTTCTCGGATTTCCGGCCATTAATTCGGTCGGTGACCGGGGGTTAGCCCGGGGCTGGGCTGGGGGTGGGTGGCTGACAACCGGAGATCAGTTCTTGACACGTTTTCAAACAAAACGATCGCTGTCTTCGTGCCCTGCCTGCACTCAACACTGGTAATAATTTGTCATGCAGAGGCTGTCCATGAGCAGAACAAAAAAGGCAGTGTGTACACTGTACGCGATGCAGCTAGCTAACAAGCTACATTTGAAAAGCCTCTCAGTTTGATTCCGAGCTCAGGACATGCTCACCGTGTTGCTTAATCTGTCCTCAAAAATCGACCTACCGCCTCCCGGCGACGGCAAGTCAAATCCCCCCCTGAGAAATCAGCCCGGCTTATTATAAACTCGGGGCGTTAATAAGCCACACAGCGCGATTAACAAACAGGTTGAGAAGCGGATCCAGCCAACAGCAAGCCAGCAGCTAAAGTAAACAAGGATGTCCGGCCGTACCTTCAAAGTAAAAGCACGGTCAACAAACACGCAGAACCTGGGAAAATTAAAACTGGCTTAACGTAAATTACCTGTAATAGAGCCAAATAGCCAAGGTTATAATAATTAACTGAAACTAAACTAAGAACTAAATCTAAATGTAAACAAAAAAATAACAAAAAAATAGACTATGAGTCAACTGCTTTAAAAAAAATGTTTTTCTGTAATATTCAGTTCACTATGATATATTAATACATTAATTTTCCTCAATCTTGCACCCCCATATGCTTTCCACATAATACTAATTAAAGAGACTAAAACTAAACTAAAGCTAAAAAAAAAACTAAACTAAAACTAAACATTTTTAGAAAAATAAAAAGCAAAAACGAAACAAGAAAAAATTGAAAATATAAATCAATTATTACTCTGCTAACAGCTAAAATAGCATTTAAGTTAAGCTGCTGTTAAGTAAATTGCCATTTATTCAAAATCTTTAAAAAATACTGAGCTTACAAGTGATTTCAAAGGAGTCATGAGCTGCAAAAGAAATAAATAATAACTTTAACTGCTTTCTTTTAAAAATGTATTATTTAG